AGTTTTTGCGAAATGTTGCTAGCAGAACCATTTGAAACAAATAACTCATAATCAAGCCAAGAGACACAATGGGTGGTTTTTCACATAATAATTCGCATCAGCGACAAAACTAGTGGAGCATTCTATTTAGGTGGCGGGTCTGGAAACTTAAAAAACATATTTAATTTATTTCGACATTTAACACACTGAGGACTCGTAAGGGAAGTGCAAGAGGATGGCAATCTAGATGACAGTGGTTCATTTTTAATTCTGTCACTCCCTGATAAGTAAAGTTCTCTAACTTCGAGGTCTAAACAATAAAAATAAAATGTAGTAACACTATGTCATCCGGTACACTTGTCCGCACACGAACAGTTACGCAGTTACGTTCTTGATGCAACCATGCTCTTTCAGTAGCATTTCAGCACCTGTCAGCTGTTGCCCTCAGAAATGTGAACACCATCTTTTAACATCCATCAAGTCATCAAGAATCTAGTCTCCCTCGCAGCCGGTATTAGTCTCGTCACGCAACGCTCCTCCCCATAATTTATGCTTGTGGGGAAGAGCGTTGCGTGACGAGACTAAAAACGGCTGCGAGGGAGACTATCAAGAATCTGGATGTTAGAAAAGAAGGTGTTACACTGAGACCGTCAAATCTTTGCGCTCATGTGCGACTTGCTTTAACGCGTCAAGTGACTATTCTATTTCAAAGGCACGGAGAATTATTCCCTACTGAGTACACAAGTAACCGATAGGAGTACGAACGATAAAATTTCACAATAAAAAAAAAATAAATCGTTCATCCAATCATCAACGCGAACGAAGACATTTCACCTCCAATGTATGAACGAACCGGAGGAAACGTCATCCCACTGCTGTTGCACACACAGAGAAACATTTGGTTTTTATTGCTTATTTGAACACTTTTTTTTAAATCAAGTAAAAAATTACTACTCAAAAAACCAGAGATATTAGATTCCAGTGGTTGAGGTGATTGATTACGTAAGCCAGTTCATGATCTCCGTTCGCACTAAAAATGTCAGTGAGTTAAAGCCGTCTTCGCTTCGAAGCTTAGTGGCCAGCCTTGAACAACACTAAGGCTATTCTGCAAGGATGATGATGTCCGCGCACATTTTCCATGAGGTTATTTCCACATACGCCCCAGAGACAAATTTAAAGTATCTGGCATCACTACACTATTTCACTATTGAACCACAGTAGAGCTACAGAACGCGCTAACTACGCGGCAGTATATATATCTTATTAACCAAGTCGGAGGGCCGTACTGGGAGAATATCGGCCCGAGGTCTTGACAGTACGGACCGAGCGCAGCGAGGTCCGTACATAAAAGACCGAGGGCCGATATTCTTCCAGTACGGTCCCGAGCAAGTTTGGTTAATGCGACTGAAGTTCAAAGAGACACGAGTGCGGTATCATTCGGGACCATTAGGGACAGTGCCCGGTCCAATACTAAGAGAATATTGACCGGCAATAGAACATTTTGATTAGTTGATTTTAGTTATTGGCCCTCTGACTGCCCGAATTGTCTAATAATACGCAGTAAAAAGCGAGGGAAAAATACGATGAGCAGAACAACAAATTGGCCACAATGAACAACCCAACCTTTTATTTGTTAACGTCCTCAAGGCTTGACTTTTGTGACGACTTTTTAACTGAAACAGTCTTTTGTTTACTTGTTTTACGTCAAACCTCGCGTATGTGCGATATCTTTGTTTAGGATGACTTTTATCAAAGTTTATTTCG